TCTTACTCATAGCTTGAGATTCAACCTTTTCTTTTGACACAGGGCTGACACTCTCCCCTTCTCTTTGACCTTAGACTTAACATTTCTTATGTCCGCTGGTTTTTCTGTGTCTTGTTCTACATGCTTATTTTGGCATTGTTACTTTCTGGCCTGGAGTTTCCCTAAGGGGATTTATTGTTCCATTTGCCATTCAGAATTTCTTAACATGGCAAATTACTCTCTTCTGCATCCTCAGCATTTCTCTGGTCTGTGTTGCTGTTTTGTGCCTAGGCTTCATGAGTTTAATTCTTCCTGACTTCTCATAGCAGTTTGCAAATTCTTTAGAAGATTTGTTTTGTTTTGATTCAAAGTGAGTATAACATCTTTGTTCCAGCCTGCTTGTTGTATTTTGGGTTTGTTTTGCTTTTGGGGTTTCTTAGTTGTTTTTAGGTTTAGTTTGTTTTTTTCTTTTTCTCCTCAGCATGGTTTATTTTTTTCTTTCCACTTTTCAGGTTTTGACCTGTAGTATTAATTATTAGGTTTGTTTGAAAGCTCATTGCACCTATATTATATATGACCAATATTGTCATCCTTTGTTTGTAATTAAATATGTATTATATTCTATTCAAATATTTATCTTCATTTATTCTCCTGATGAGGAGGAATTTTTAATCTTTTTTATCAGCTATATCACACATGATAACTTTTTTTTTATAGGTGGTTCAGAATGTTTCTGATGTAGCCCACATGAGAAATTCATCTGTGTTTTGCCAGTTGTATTAACAAAAATTCATATCCAAATAATTTTGAAGGCATGATGATTTCTCAAGCCAAGTTAGTACTTTATGGAAAAAATAAGCATCACTGTAAATTCACATCACTTTTTCCTAGCTGCCATCATGCCTTACATTTCTCCCCTCCATCTGCATCCTGCGGCTATGGCTTCAGACTTTCCATTTCTGTGTTACTGCTCCTTTGCTGCTGCTGTTGTGTCTTTGGTAGCAGCCCATTTTCTCTGAAGAGCAGTCTTTGTTTATTGTTTGTGTTAGGCTGTTCTGCCTACTTCCTCTCTTCATCTTTGGTCTCTGCTAGACTTTTTCCTGCCCTTAGACCTTGCCAAGATTCATACAATCCTAATCTTTCTTTTTGTTGTAGTTTCTTTCCGAAGCCACCCACCTGTTTTGTGGTATATTTTAGTTATTTGTGGCTGAGGGTGCAGTCCTTCACCTCTGGCTTCAGAGGAGTGTCAGTCTTTTTTGTCTGCTTTCTCTGACTATTGTTACCACAAGGGTATCCTTGTGGGACGCGCAGAAATCAAGACTAGAGGTACAAAAAAGTTCAGAGGTTCAATTATGAAAACAGAAATAGATAGCAGAGAATTATGAAGAATGTATGTCAGAAAGAGAAAGAAGAAACACAGGTTTCACATCTCTTTCTGGTCTGCTTGAAGACAAGGACTGTAACTCAGAATATGTATACATTGAGAGGGAATGTGTGGACGAGAGGCTTCCTGTCTTCTGATGTGCGGCTTTTGATTAAAGTTGCAAAATGGGGAGTTTTTTTTCTGGATTAATTTCCTCCCTTTAGGCAGAGATACTGCCTATTCAGCAAAGGAAAAGTTACATTTCACTGCCTTTGCATTATTTGATACTTAATTTGGTTCAAGTAAAGAAATTAAGATACCACCACTTGTTTCTTAGATGTCTCAAAATCAACATTACCTCAGCTGGTATATGTGAAGAGTAGGCTGTTCGTTTTCTAACTTGAAGCCCACACTCTGACTCATGAAGATTAGTAAGTCTTCTGTAATTCAGGATGCCTTTTTTATCCCCCACTAAAATACAAAGGAAGCCTGTGGTCAGATTTAGTTATTTTGCTTTCATATATTTTAATTAAAGTAAAAAATAATTTCATTTGCATATCTCTGATACTCCTCTAGCTGGTCTGTGTCTCTTTCCTGCTGTGAGATCTACCTCTAGCTAGCTTTCCTCTTCTGATCATCTCCTTCCTCTCAAACTGTACAGGCAATAAAGAGTTGAAATAGCAACGTCTGCTTACTTGATATTCTGATTTCTGGACTATCGATGCTGAGGGAATATCACAGAACTGCCTGCATGCATTTACCCATGCTTTCAGGCACACGGTGTGATTCTTGGGGTGTCCTGCACAGGACCGGGAGTTGGACTTGATGATCCTGAAGGATCCCTTCCAACTCAGTATGTTGTATCACCCATTGTTTAATCACTAATTTTCTTTTTATAGTTAAAAAGATTCAAAAATTTAATTGCTGTGAAATATGTCACTACAGATGAAATTTTGCAATTTAACAGTGGGAAGAGATTATTTTTGAAAATTTTCAAAAGAAAGAACTTAGTATGAACTGAATTGAAAGGGAAAAGTGTATAAACACTGTAAAAGTTATATGTTTAAAGATGCTAAGATTAAATTCAAAAGGGTACATTTACTTAGAGATTCTTCATGAATCTATCTCCTCAAACAGAAGTTAATTACAATAGTCCAGTAATTGTGTTGAATAAATTTGAGCATCAAAGAATAAATAAATAAATTTTTCTAGCTTATATTTAGGTATTGCCTGGAACTAACCAGGGGTTACCAGCTACCAGTTTTGGGGTAGCTGGAGAGAGTGGGTCATGTTCAAAACAAAACAGATTCTTTTCTGAGACAGAGATTTTATTTCTCAAGTAGACTAAAATAACTGTACATAATGATGGAATGTCAGTATTACTGGGTTCTTGTATCACCTGTAAAATCAGAGACAGATGTGGTAATTTTGAGAAATTACTCAAGTAAGTAATTAAACTGGGGCCATTATAGCACCATCAGACTTAAGTTAAAAAAATCTGTGGAATGTTAAGCAAACTGTTATGGATTTCACAAAAATATGCTTAGAGAGATTTGTCAGGTCCCCATAATATTTTTATTAAAATTTTGTAATTATGAGGAATCAGTTGTCACAGATATGAAGACAAAACTGCTCTTTAGAAAAGAAAAAAGTGTGTAGACAATGCCTATATTTTGTCTTAGAATTGAAGTGCTAGTCTTTTAATGTGTACCTATGCTTCCAGATATAAATGAAGTGCAGTATTAGCTGTTTCTTTTTTGAAAGCAATTGACTTTTGCAGAGATAAATTCTAAACATGATCTGTAAATAGACATTGTGGTTTACTAAAATATATAGAGTTTAAATTATAACTTAGTCATCTACAAGCAAATTAAGTTTGCCAAGCACAGCTAGAAAGAAGACAGCATAAGACAATATGAAGGTGAAAAGAATAAACACATAGGTACAGAGCTAAACCTGGAAAAACTAGTTCACAAATAGTACCTTCTTAATTAATTTTTATGCTTTAAAGCTGGGTACTATTTTGGTACCATGGAGACACAGTAAATGCAAAAATGTTTACCAGTAAAACTGAGTTCTCTTCCTCTTCTCTCTTCTTTCTTCTCCTCTCTTCTCTTTTCTTTTCCCCTCCTGTAGCAGTAATTAAGCTATAAAGGATGATGAAATAAAGAAATGCAGGTTTAAAATAACTGAGAAAGGAAGCTGTGTTAGCCTTAGTGGATTTTCACTGCCATTCACAGCCACTACTTAAATCCTCCCTGATTTCATATATCCTAGATTTAATCACATACTACTGTTGGAGAATTGGAATGGCTGTCAGCCTACGTGAGCAGTGAAATCTCCAGTAAAAGTGCCACTGTCATATGGATAGATTTAAGACATTACTATAGCTTGGAATTAAGACTGTCCTAAACTTTAACATCTGATTCCTCAATGGGTGTGTATGAAAACCCGCAGTGTTGCCAGCCTTCCCCTGCAGCAAGTGTCCAGATGGACACTTTGACAGTTTAGCTAGGGTGTTTCACACATTCCTTATTCATAAGGAATTCTGCTTTTCTTCATATTTCAGAATTTCTTCTTTTTAGACGTATTCACATAGCTGTCCACTGGTACTTATTTCCAACTTAAAAGGTAGTCACTGCGTTTACACAGAATTGAGGCTGTGTTTGCAGCTGTTAAAAAGAATTGCTCTTACAGGGAGTGGTTTGGCTGTAGAGGGTTGAACCATTCATGAGGAAGTATTCACTGTTATTCAAATTGCAGAATCTACAATCTGTATGCTGATCAACTTAATGAAAGTAAGAATAAATGATAAGAAGTGCCTTTAAGAGTGATACAGAGAAAAATGGAGTGCATGTTTCCCCTGCAGAATGTGTGCAGGGGATAAATAAATCCCATAAAAATCTGCTGGCTTTGGAATGAAGAGAAGTATTTAAGGTATTAAAGTCTTGAAAACTATTAAAATTACCTGAGATGCCTTTCTTAGCACTATTAAGATTTGAGTTTTAAATCACAGGGTCTCAAGATACTCTTGACAGAACAGACTGTTGGTAAATACTGGAATTTAATCTATCTAAATAGTAAATCTAAAATGGATAGATTATTCAGAAATAGTCTATCCATGTCATTTGAAGTATAAACTAGAGTTTTCAATTGGACATAAGAAAGAATAAACAATAGCAAAATGGCTTTAAAATATTGATTATTTATATTTAAATTAAGTTGAATATATTTTAATATATTTGGCTGTTGAAATTTTAGTATTTAGCTATGCATAGTATATGTTTAGAGAAATATTTAAAACCAAAGTGCTTTTACATTATTTCTTCCGTTTCTTTGATTTCAAAGTATTTACTTGCCTTAGCAGGTTCTCAAAAATGTATACTTTTGTGGTATACAGGTTGAAAGACAATTCTGTCTTTGTAGCAGTGATCAATCTGCAAAGACAAAAATATTGCTAATAATTTTTATGACAGAAATCAATACACTATGCTTAATGTATTTATTGTGTTATTAATATTGTGATTTCTCTTTTGTAATCTTGAAAAAGAGTGTTACAGATGATTTACTAAGTAACCTTTTCTTTTGCCATTTGTGACTCATAAGCGTGCATTTCTTTTCTTCATTTACTGAAGAGCACTATATATTTTTTTCTAACAGGAAAAATTTCTTCTGTAACTAAAATGACATCATGCTGCCTCCTATGGGGGAATACTGAAGCCTTCTCAAAGGTACAACACCGTGGTAAGTACTAAAATTATGTTCATAACAATTCTTTTTTTCATAAAATATGTAAAAGAAAGAAAGCAAGTCTCTGCTGCTGGTTTTCTTAAATTTGTTTGAGATATCTTTGTAATATATACATTCAGTTAAAATGTTTGTTTACCATATGTTCATCCAATGAGACATGGAATACAGTGCATTCTAAGCATTAGTGCTGTTTATGTGCTAACTCATGAATTGTTATTATTTTTAAGCTCTATAAGTATTGAATGATGCCAACCAGTTTGTAGTTAAAAGACATGAGATTAAACTTGGCTATTGTGACACTGCTATTCAATAAGGTTTGAGGGTTCCAGGCCACACTGTACCAGATAGAGCTGATTGTATTTGGTTTGCAAGACAAGGTTGGGTTCCAGAGTTCTTACAGGGCTGTACTAAAAAAGAGGCTTGGTTACTATTTCATATTGTTACCATAAAGATCTGTTTTTTCCTCTCACTGGTTAGCAAAATATGAGAGAACATTTTTAATGTATAGCATATAGACAGATAACACATATATGTATGTGTATATGTATGCACACAGATATACAGAGATCCTTATTATATCAATATGGAATATGATAAGACTTTAATTTAGAAATCTATGCATAGAATATATTTTATTTATGAACACCTTAACCTAATTGCCATTCTTGCTTACTGCGCCTTACACTTTGATTAATGAGAAGGGAATGAGATGTACAAGTGACCAGAAAAGTTTCTTTGGTGCGCGTTCTTCCTTTTTACTTTATATTATCCATGAATTTCAAGGCAGATGTGACTTTTTCTATAATAATTGCACTAGCTGTAGTACAATGACGTTTCCATTTTGTGTTGACACTGGGACCTAAATTCAGAGAGAAGGAATAATAATATATCTTATGTGATCATAAAGTTGTGAATAAGCAATAATGCAAAGTGTGACAAGTTAGTTATGAGAATCAAGGGCACCATTATATGAAGGGTAAAATTTGGACAAAGAAAATAACAGGTTTGAAAATTCCTGTGATTTTTTGCATCACTGAACCATGTTTATTCCATTTTGTAACAATTTACATGTAATCAAATAAAAAATACTTTATGAACAGGGGCCTGTTTAATAGTTTAGCACTCACAGTGATTGTGATAATAGCTGTGCCCTTAGGAGTTACATAGTGAGTACTACAATGTATATGAGTGCCATACATAGAATTCAATTACTTCAGAGAACTCATGACATTTTTTTCAGGAACTAGTTGAGCAACTGATATAAAGCATAAAATGCTTACATAAAGCTGAAGTCAAAGTTGAAATAATAACTTAATTTCTTTGGAACTAACATTTTGTGGTACATTTACCTTGACTGGCGCTACAATAAACCACAGCCATGTTCGAAGAAGGGAAATTCTCATCTCTAGATCTATCACAGTACACCAAGATAGACCACAGAAACTGGGGAGAGGATTTTGAAAGGGAAAATGAGGGACGGAGGGATTTTAGTTTTCTCTGGTTTTTCAGCATTTTGTTTATTCTTCATAACTCACAGCAGGAAAGTTAGAGAGGAGAAGAAAAGGAAGTAATCAACATTAAAACAAAAAAGTGAGATGGAGCCTCTTGATGTGTGGCTTTTAACTCACACTGCAAGTTAGTGAACATCAGAAGACAGCTGTGCCTTTTGAAAATTTCCTTGTTTATATGAGGTGATAATTGGACTATACACTAAAAAAAAAAAAAAAAAAAACAAAGAAAAAGAGATTAGAAAATGAAGTTATAAATCAGCATAAAATTTATTCCTGTTTCTCAGCTTGCTAATTTTCTGAAGTAGCCACAAATATTTGTATTCAACTGCCAACCCTGAGGTACTCCAAAATACTCAATGGAAATACAGAAATATTTGTTAGTTTCTTATTTTGTCTAGAGAAGGTTTATATTGAGAATTTTTTTAGGAAGCAAATAGAAATGGATCTGAAGGCCTTCAGGATAATGCATAATCCAAGCCAAACTAACCTTAAAGTTGTATTTTCAGCAGACAATAGGGATCCATTTGGATAAACAGAAGGAAAAAAATAAAGATAACTAGGGATGATAGCTTGGACAGATCGTAACTATGACTTTGGCTATATTGTAGTCTCATATTTAAGAGAAATACATCAAGAAATCCCTACATCTTGAATTCTTTAACTGCTTATTTGCTATCTTTCTCATCCATAATTCCAGATAAAATTCTTCAACATGATAAACCCATAATCTTTCTCAAGAATAGAAAGCATGAATTTATGTTTGGAGTAGATGATATGTGTTTCCTGGCAACGCACAATGTAGTATTAAAAATTGAAGCAAACAACTGGCCCATGCTTTGTCCTCAGATTTTGATCTTGCATCACAAGTGCAAGTCAGTTTAAATGGTGGAATTTCATTCTAGAATCCCCACCTGACAGATGAATGTGCAGATGGAGCGCTGTGGTAGTCTGTGAAGTGCTGTGTCGCTCCTTTGATGTAGCCACATACTGTCAGATTCTCGATCATGTTCTCAGACTCTGATCAAACCTTCTGTCTTGTATCATTTATGGCAACAAATGTGAAGGAAAAATAAAGCCTTTATATTAGAAGGCAGGAATAAATTGTTCCAGTTTTAGTCTTGGGAGTTTGAGGAAACAGATCAACTCTTTATTCTCTGAGGAAAATCAGGGCACAATACAATTCTCATTCTTAGAGCTGTCAGCTCTCCTCAGCTTACTTTTCAGCTCTTGGGATTCAGATAAGAATCTTTGCCTTCCTCTTGTCAGGGTTTATGGCTGCACATGAAAGTACTCTTAGCTGAGCAGTCCAACCTCTGGTTAAGCAGTGTCTTCCAGTCCTCCAGTTTTCTTTTTAGTCTGTCACTGATTTTATACTCTTAGGTGGAAGAAAAACGCTCCCCACATTTTTTTTTCTGTCTTGGTGAAATGTCTGCACAATTTTAGCATGGAAATCCATCAGTTACGTAGGCTTCTAAGATCTGTGCTATGATATATAGGCTCTGCTGATATTATTGTGTGCATTCTTCCTACCAATTCTCTTAATTTTGAAACACAAGGAAAGAAAGAAGGAAAGAACTCAGTTTAAAATTCTTCTCTTTTATAAAGATAGAAGGTGTGTTTTCCATACTGAAACATAAGTGATAAACAGGAGCAACTAATGAAGTTACCAGTTGAACCCAGACTGATGGTCTGGTCATGTCATCAGTTAATTGAGGCCGATGCTCAACATTTCAGTAGGTTTCCAAATTGGAAACTGTATCTTCTTCAAGAAATTCCAGTAGTGTAAATTGAATTTAACACCTACTGTTTTGAAATCTAACCAGACTTCAATGAGAGTTTGTCTTGATTTTGTTGTAGGATGTTCACAGCTCTCTATGCATCTCCAAATTTTTTTCCAGGAAGAGTATTCTGTAATCCTAAATCCAGCGTAGCTGTGTCTCAGTTGATCTAGAAAAAAATAAATTAAGCTGCAGCATCTGCTTTGCTGTGAGATGTTACTGGTAAATCTAATCTTAACAAATCCATTACATCGCTGATATTAGGGTGTGTTTTTCCATTAAAGGTAGACATGAAGGGTAGAATCAAAATATTCAGATTCTCTAATGAATATAAATAATTCCTTGCTTCCATTTGAATTCAAAATGATGTATCCATTATTTTTTTTTGTCCAGTATTTAGTTATGTATTTCAGTATGACTGACCTAAAGTATCTAAAAGTAGGTAAACTGTAATGAACTCCACCAATATGTGAATTTCTTAAGAACCCAAGTGAGAAATGGAAATATGAAGCATTTTTCAAGTACTACTCAACTATGAAATAGCAAACACCAAAACTTTCCAGGTCATTAAATTTACTTGCAGGTGGCAATGTAATTGAGTAATTTTAAAACTTCTACCTAAGATCACTAGCTTTATTAAAAGCTTTGGGAAGATAGTGAAACAATTTTATAAAAATATGAGTCATGGTTGTCTTAAACCTTTAAGACTCATACACTGTTTTTACGCAAGTAATGCTTCCAGAAATATAATTGATTTTGTAGAAAATAAATTTGAGCATAACATTACACAAAGTATTGTACAACAATAACAGAGAATAGTTAAAGTAGTGTAATTTCAACATTATACAGACTTCATGGATAATGGGAGTTCACTGAATCATAACATCATGAGCAATAAGAAAACATGAAATAAAAAATAATCACACTGTTTTGCACAGGCAGCTCATTTAAAGTTCAGTCATGTTTAATTCAAAGAACTAGAGTGCAAATTTTACTATCTCGGTGTTTAAACTTGAAAATGTTTTATTACTGTGACTAATATAATTGAAATCTATTGTACTGTACAACAGATAATGACGTTATATCTATTATATAAGTTTCTTCAGGGAACTCTTAAAAGAAGTTTGTAATAACCCAGTATTGTTTGGTTTTTTGGTTTTTTTTTTCCTAAGAACAGTAAAGCTTTTGAGAACAAGATTCCAGTGTAAATGAAGTACAGGAAAGCCATTGTCCTCTTCCTGTCAAGGTTCAAAACACACTGCATCTTCATTTTTAACGACAAGACCACAGTTTGTTTTGTTTGGAGAACTCAGTAGTTGATGGGAAAGGAAGACCATTTGTATCCGTTAATAAGTATTCCTTTATTCAGTTTTCCTTTATTTCAGTTATATCCTCAGTTTTCATATAAAAGGAATAGCTCTGTGAGCAGCAAAATCTTGTGTCATCCTGGTATCTCCATGACTTAATTTGAGCTCTGCACCCCAAAGTTTCCTTTAGAAATAACTGACAGAAGATGATTTCTGGGATCATGGACTCCAGCTTCTATAAGAGGGGATGATGAGATCATACAACGCTTTTTATACAGATTGTAATCCAGGGTTTGAAACCAAGGGCTACATTGATTACTGGTGGTAACCAGTAATGAGTGATGTCTCTCAAAGGTCCATATTGGGACAATGCTATTAAATATCTTCATCAGTGACAT